CCTCCGGTAACCTCACTTACTCGACGAAATACAACGCAAGCGTTGCTTCACGTCGGTTTTCTGTGAGGCCGTGGTATCACTCCGGTCGAGCCGGCTCATTCGTGCCGAAGCATGGCTCTTCCACTCTTCTATTATTTAGATGCAACTGACTACATACTTACTCAACAAAAACCTTCACAATATTTCCAGAAACAAAGAGCCTAGAAATATTACAAGTAAGTAACAAAATTTTCATATGAACTAAAGCAACATAACATAACATAAGGCAAGCCTTTTATCTCCGAACCTACCCCGGCAGAGGTGCAAATATGCCACTGTACAATGTAACACCAATTTTTCACTATTTATGTTAATAGTCCCATGTAATAGGGGGTAAGCCTATTGCCATATATCGGGCACAATACCAGACTCCGTGCTACTACTGAGTATTTTTTTTTAAAACCCAGTAATACTTTGCGCGATTCGGCAATCGAACCCGAGACCCCTTGCCCAGTAACAGAACGAGAGAGAACAAAAGCAAAGATTACTATAATCAGTCGCCAACGTAAAAAGCCACGCTTATCGCCACGCATCCGGGAATTTGAGGATTGTACATTAGAGATTCGAGATTAAAGATTAAAGACTAGTATTTGGGATTAAAATTGCTTAAATCACAATTATTTGCAGATTGAGCGTCAAGTTTGTCAATTAACTTGAACCAGTGATACAGTGCTTTCAAACTATTGGATACATGATTCATCGGACAAAGAAGAAACGATAAAATAAAAAGAGTAAGATTTAGAAACTTCATTTGAGTTTTTTTTTTTTATGAAATAGCTTAGCAATTGTGAAGATGGTACTCCTGAATGATGGTAAGCAATCACCGTTACCCGAATGTCCGTCACTCACAACACCAGAATTATAAGTTACATACTTAGTCTTTTTGGGATTGGGAATTTAAAGATTGGGGAATACATTCTGAAAACTGCTTCGCAAGATTTTTGAACCGGCAAACGAGCAGACGGATCAATCACCTGATGGTAAGCAATCGGCGTCGCCCATGAACACCCGAAACATTAGATGCGTTACAAGAGCATTACCGGTCTGTCAGGATTAGGAATTTGAGGATTGTTGTGGATTCAGTTTGGAGTTGTCATGCTCACTCAAAGATCTCGTTGGCAGTGGCACGTGCATTGGATCGCTCGATTCCTTACAAAATGGTTGAGTTGGGCGGTGCTGGGGTACGCCAAATGTTCGTGAACGGGCACCGTCGATTGGAACTGATTAGGTCTGTATCATTTTATTTTATTATCCTCAAGGTTATTTTCTTTTTCAGTCTTTCTGACTGGATTTAGGTGTTGCATTGTTCTGACACAATCGAACTAATAAAACTATGTAACTAGAAAATTGTATTGTAAACCTAATTGAAAAAGAGTAACCTATGGAGTATCTTGCTCGTTCTTCTCCATAGGAATCTATGCCTTGGAATGAGCAACTAGCTTCACTTATAAATTTTTGTTGTTTGACGTTCAAAAGTGCCATCCTGGTCTAATTGAAATAAATGATTTTGACTTTGACTTTGACTTTGATTCGGGGATGGTAGATTGGAAAGGGCGATAATTATGCCTCTGATATTGGCGTGTAAAAGTGTTACTTCGTAACCTGTTTGCAGAAATGAATATCATTTCATTTCATCAGCATTTCATTTCGGTAACCTCACTCACACGACGAAACACAACGCAATTGTTGTTTCACGTCGGTTTTCTGTTAGGCCGTGATATCACTCCTGTCAAGCCCGGCCCAGAAAAATAAGATTTTATCGCTGAGTTGATTTAATTTGGATTTAAATAGATGTTGTGAGTTTTAATGTTTAAAATTCCTTCTGAAGTTGATTATTGTGAGTTTTCGAGTTTTGGGAATTAGGCGGAATAAAAGGGTTTTTTTCTCGGGAAATGGATAGTGAACTGAAGGAGTAGTAAAATAATCGTTTATGTTCAGTATATTTCAGTGTGAGTGGAATTCGGGAAGTTTTTTCTTCTCCTCCTATAATATAGTTCTCATTTATTTCGTTGCGGATACCAAGATAGTTAATTCATATACCTAGGATGCGTTGAAATTCAATATTCCGGTGTTTTCATGGTTGTATCTACTGTTGATCCTGGTTTACAGGAGTTGCGGAGTTAAAAAAATATCAGTGATATACCGGTATCTATCAAACCAAAGATAGTTTCCTTCTCTCATTAAGTTGCAAGAAGGCAATAAACAATCCCACTGCACTTATTTTTTCCTAAAACTCAGTTTGATTTTGCACAGAAACTGTAAATAGTTGGAAGATGAAATATGAATGTTCCATCTAGAGAATACTTTACCATTAACTATGATCGTCACAAAAGAGAGTGAGTTTTAATTCATTTATATCTAAAGAGTTTTACATTTTTGAAATAAATAGAACTTTGTACTACAGACTAACCACTATAAGCTGACCTAAAGCCGTGTAAACTTTCCACTCAATTAGAGGCCAATTTATAGTAGATTATGTACCATATGTATTAGTATTTGTTGGCCTAGCAACACGTAATATTTCTTCATAGTGAGAGGTCAGATTAAACTGGAACATAAGTCTGTATTTTGTCTAAGTATGGGAGCTACCGATAAGTATTTTAACGACATAAAACTTTAAAATTTGTGTTTTTAAACGATTTAGCTTTTAATTTACTTATACTTTATTGCACTCACAGAAAAAAAAAATATACATTGTAATAGTAATTTCAGTACAATGGGCGGTCTTATCACACGCGGCGATTTCTACCAGACAACCTTTGGATGGAATTTTTGAAAAGATCTGGAAATGCGTGGTATCTGCATAATAATCGTAAAGGGAAAAAGCTAGAAAACAAAAATAGAGGTAGAAGAGAAACAAAATAAATAATCAATAAAATATACAGATGTACATATATTCTAAAACTACTATACTACTAGATTTTTAGATTTATTTTTATAGATAGTTTATTGTTTATAGTTGCACTCAAACTACAGAAACCAAGTTTAGAGTTAATTTTGTCAAAGGTTAAAAAAATACTGAATAAAAATAGAAGCTTTATTGATATTTATTTTTATTGGTTTCATAGAAAGGTTTTATATTTTAGGCTTTTGATGTCGGTGCTTTTTAGTTTGTGGTAGGTCGTTCGTTAATGGTTGTAAGTAAAACTGTTGAAGCGCAAGTTGTCAAAGTCGATGCTCTAGTTATCAAACTATTTTATACACACACAACCTTAACCGACGAGCATGCATGAAAAGAAAGACTGTTGATGAAGCGAAAGAGGTATGTAGGAATCGTAGCAATTGGGATGATGATAGGGTATGAAAATTAAAAGTCAAATAAGTCTGTAAGTTAGGTAATGAAAAAATATGTATTTTTTTATTTTGTTGTACCTCTAGAATAAAATGATACTTAGATATAACGAAAAGAAGTTAACGAAACGAAACGAAGTGGGGGCTAAAACATCATTTCTACGCATAAAATGTACATAGAAGTCGTCATTTGACATTTCAAATCAATATATCGTCGAAAGTATTCGTTTCTGTAAGAAAATAAGAAATACGTGTCTAATGATTTAATAATACTATAATCTACCTGACCGATATTAAAATAAGATATAGACATCTACCCTATTGGCGTTCCATAGTCTCTGCCTTCTCCGATGGGAGACAAGCGTTATTTATGTATGTACACATAATCACGCCTGTCTCCTATGAGATTATGGGAGTAGGCAGATACTATAGAATACTTCATCAATTACAGTCATCAGTATTTTCGGATATATGCTTGTCGGGTATGTTTTATGTATTTGAAAATGTTGGCATAGAGAAAAATGTCTTTGATATTCGTAATGATGACTGATTAGCTGAAGATGCTTTGTATTATTTGATACGCAGGTAAGGAAAAGGGTCAGACTACTAAAATTATCTTATTAATCCTTATCTATTTTAATGTAAACGTTACATTGAAAACTGTACGGTTGTCGTGGTGGCTGGAAAACCGGCTGCCGTGTAACGTGTCGCGGTTTCGCGAAATCCTAGTTTGTGGCAAAGTTAAAGTTTCAGTGTGGGAGAGCCATGCTTTGGCACGAATTGGCCGGCTCGACCGGAGTGATACCACGGCCTCACAGAAAACCGACGTGAAATAACGTTGCGTTGTGTTTCGTTGGGTGAGTGAGGTAACCGGAGGCCCAATTACCCCTCTCCAGTCTCCCGAATCCAGAATCCTCCACAATCCTCAAATTCCCAATTCCCAACAGGCCGGTAACGCACTTGTAACGCTTTGGTGTTCCAGGTGTACATGGGCGACTGCGATTGCTTACTGTCAGGGGATCCGTCTGCTCGGATCGGATTATGCCATAAATAAAAAAAAAGATTTTCTTTCTTAAAAAACCCCCACCCTTAAGCATTTCTGTAACTTCTAGGTAGTGAATAGCTAAAACGTTAAAAATACCTACATTTTTAAAAGCCTAACACATAAATATAAAACACGAAACATTCTGATATTTATGAATAAAAATAACTGAAACCATACTTACGTACGTGCTCAGCATTCAGATTTATAAACTCTCGCTAACATGATTCCTGAAGCAGTTTCAATGGGACTTCCATTTAATTTTATTCATTACAATTTATTATACAAAACAGTCGAGTATTGTACGCAGCTGGGGTTCTATGTATGAACTAAACGTGTAGCATAACAGGGATCCCTTGTTAGCTTAGGATCTCTTCGCCCGTAACGAAGACAAACATCATAAGATGCCGCGTCAAAATTCATCATTTTAACCAATTTATAACACACTTTGACACTAGAATTTTCAACCAAACATGAGTACATATAAAAAAATGTATCCTAAATAACATTTTCTTCCGATTACGAATATTAACTTTCTGTAAACTCAGCCTAACTTCGGACTTGCGCCGTTTGTAGCACCGCGTAGCCGTAGCATCAGTCGAGCTACGCCGGCCGCCCCGAACGCTACGCCGTAGCGGACCATGCCGCGCGCTACGATCTAATCACTGACGTGGTGAAACTTTTCCTAGGATATTAAACTAGTTTGGTGAATACTGTGTACATTGTAGAAATATAATGTAGAGTGTATCTTAGTGTTAAAGTGTGTATTACAAGTGTTAGTGTACACTTGGGTATAATTATTATGATCGTTGGCCGCCGCTGTCCAATTTGCAGAAACAACAAACAATGACCTTTCCATTTTGCAGGTTAGTTGTGTTTTTAATTAATATGAGATGAGTGGGCACTCTCATTCCCCGTTTTAATTTTTTTTTCGGTATATAAAAACTTATTACCTTTCGGCATCATTACGGTTTTTCGTGAAGTTTTATAGGGCCATAATTTTTTTTGGAATACATTAATCGGAATCGGTCGACTGTGAGCGTAATAAAGTTGATTTTTTATATTTTTATGTGTTATAAATCTAGAGATTGATCCGAATTGTCGGATTGTCGAAGGAAAATGATGACTTAATGATTTTATGTAGGTTTATAATTTCGGTGGAATAAAAAGAATACTCATTTATCCTGCAGCTGTTTCATTTTATGTAAATTATTCTAATTCAATTTAGTTGTTGGGTTTAATGAGTTTCGTCCATATTTTTTCATTAAAAACTGTAGGCGGCCGTCTAGCCCTAGACATTACTAGAAATTATGTTAATTTAATATTACAAAGTAAATTTTAATGTCGCAATGATTTTTTTAATTAAAATGAAACCTGAAATTTGGTAGATTGGGAAGGTCGTAACGTTAAAATGTGAAATGGTACATTTTTAAGCAAGAATTCAGTCTTTTTCAGTATTGTATTAATACATGAATTTATATTAAATATGAGGAAAAGTGTTGCGTATATAATTATATTTAAATTGGAACAGATTTTAACAGGCTGACGTGTGAGTGCCTTTTTAATATAATTTATACGCTCATGAATAATAAGTTATCTTTATGAGTTGCTGTAATAAGCGGAAGCGTTTTAAATATCGCTGGAATAAAGTTATTGGGAATTATAATTTATTTTACTTTCATAAAAATTCTGAATAAATAATTTTGTAATTAAAAACTTAAGCTAACGTAACACATGTCTTTTTACGAACAAATGTATTTCATTTCTGTAAAATATTGTTAAAAAACTGTGTATAAAACATTTTAGGAAGAAAAAAGATTACCTTGGTTAGACCAAGGAAGTTGAATAAAAAGGCGGACATAATCTCTTGAAACAACGACTGTGGCACCTGGCTACTATAGACTTACACGCAGGACACACACACTTGACACGAAGGACATCTGCCATTTTCTTAAATCAGATAACGTGGTAAACCAATACACACGCACACATAAATAACCCAATAACATTTTGGTGCTTCAATCGTTTGTAAGTGATATATGACCGCTTTTTTACATCTGTCTTCTACTCACACAAAGATTACATTTTATTACACAATAATTGATCTACATTCCTCAATGACGAACCGAAAACGTAATTAACATTGAGAGTAGACCTCCGTCCTCCGTGCCCTCTTTTCAAAACCAGACACATTTAAGTGATGTGTCCATATGAAGGGAATGTGAGTTATTTCGGAACATAATAGTCTTTTGACGAGAGACTCATACAAACGGAGATTGGGGTACTGAGGACCATTATTTAAGAAACCTTGAATACACACTTCAGTCGTAAGTACTGAAAATATATAGGTAATTATCGTGAAATGTTTGTCGTGTACTAAATATGAAACCTTTGAAGTATTGTTGAAAAAGCCTCATTAGAGTTTTATGATTCGTTTTTACAACTAGACTTTATGTGAGACAATAAATTTGTAAGTCTGGAAATAAGGTTTCATTAAAGATTTTATAATGAGTGCTTGTTAGTCATCTGTTCGTATACCGTGACTGCCATAAGCCAAGGGTTTCAGATCAAAAAATATGTTGACTATAATAAGCAATATAAGACGTTAGTTTTTATTGGAAAACACTTTCATAATTATGATTACACAATAATAAGTATATCCTCAACACTCCTCAAATTGCTAATCCCTAAAAGGCCGGTAACGTACTTATAATACCTCTGGTGTTTCGGGTGTCCATGTGTGACGCCGATTGCTAACCATCAGGCTCGTTTACCGGCTTATCTATAAAAATATTTTTAATGTACGATAAATTAAAAACTATCCCAACACCTTTACACAAATGGGACAAAAGCCATCACTATAATGAAAAAACATCTTAAATAAAATATATGAAACGCTTTGCATCGTGAGCGACGAAATAAGTTCAAGCGATGACGTCACTTATCATACAGTAAGGGGAGAGGGGTGTATCTGCTTATCAAGAGAAGTGACCCGACCGTATACTAATGATATGACATTCATCTTCTCATGTACCCTGAGGACTTATTGTGATAACAACCCTGGGTTGCCGTGGGGATTCTGTTAAGATCTGATGATAAAGTTAAAGTCATATTTTTTCCTTTAAAGAAGGTACGCATTTGCAAATGAGGTAGCATTATGTAATTGCAAGGATACGCAATTATTATACAATAGGAAATTTACTTTCTGTAGTTTTGTTATTGTGAAATGGTATGTTTTTATAATAACTATCGTGAGACATACTAAATTAAATAAAAATCGCGCGCGAGCTACCCATGTGATTAAACTGAGAAAAGCTCTACTAGTTTCTTTTACTTTCTAGAGCTTTTCTCAGTATACTAACGTGAGTAACCCGCGATTTTAGTGAATAGGTACGTCTACCAAAGCTAGATGTCAAGGCTGATATAAAAGCTGGTGGAATATAGGCATAACGATGTAAATGTGTAGTGTGTACCTCTGCCTACTTCATTGGGAATTCAAAAGCGTAATGTTATGTTATGTAATTTGTATTTTTCATTGGTTATATTATGATTTAGTAAGTAAACCACTAATGTAATACATTTAAATGGACAATTTTTGTACGTATCTATAATTATGAATCAACGACCTCGAAAATATCGGAATTTCTTGAATTTTGTTTTTAGGGGGTTTCAGGAGCAGTAAATCGGACTAGTTAGGTTCCATTCAACGACTTAAAAAAAAGATATTTACTGTTTGTCCTGGCTATGTTTGCGCAATTTTCTCGCGGTTTGCTGAACGGATTTTGATGTGGTTTTATACAAAGTGTTCGTTAGACTTAGGAGAAGACTTTAGTATATTAATTGCCCGAAATAACAAAACATAGAAATCGGATTCATAAACGTAGCTTATAGAATAATAATTATCTTTTTGAAAATAACACAAACTGTCGTTTACTAAAAAATACCAAACAAAGCTCAGTCATCGAAGCACTAGTAAAAATAAAAACGAACTTCTTCTGAAACATTAAATATTTTTCTCTGGCCTGGTCTTTGTGATATGTTTACAAAGTTACAAAATATCGATTACCAGTACATTTATTGGCATTTGACAGTACATTGAATTTGAACACCTGTCAGCTACCACGTGAAACAAGCAATTTATAAAATGTCGTAATTCAATTTCTATTTCAACGAGGGTAAAACGAAAAATAAAATATTTGGTAGGTAGGTTAATACCTACATGACCACATGGTTGGTTGAATGACCAGACTTTGAATTTTATCACCAGGTTTGATGATTAACTAAAAATCGCGGGCTACTCACGGACATACATATGCTGAGAAATCGCTGCACGACATAGCCGCGACCGCGCACGCTGCTCATGAGGAAGAACCCCTCTGTTGTTCGAAACTAGTAGAGCGTTTCTCAGTATATTTACGTGAGTAACCTGCGATTTTCAGATAATTAATTATGTCTCACGATAGTTATTTTAAAAAGGTTTGATGATGTAGTTTGACATTGACATTAGAAAATTATTCAATACGCGCCTGTGAAAAATATAAAACAGAATTATAATAGTTTCTTACTTATAACATGTTGATACCTATATTCACAAATATGACGTACAAAGTCTACTAAGAAAGCCGTGTAATAGAGGTGAAGCTTCACATCCTATCAACAGCCTATTAGTGGCCACTGCTGACCAATGGCCTCTTCTCAGACGGAAAAGGTTTGAGCATAATTCAACATTATTGTTCAATGCAGGTTGGCGATTTCAAACTTACAATTAGAAACAGTTGACAAACCATATGCTTATTAATCAGAAAACGAAAGACTGAGTGACGATCTAAGTTTAAAAAAAATGAATTTAACACATTCAAATTATGTTCTTTTGCCTACAATTGAAACATTAGGCTATTAATACACAAGTATCATTTTTGAAAACAAGTACAAGTAAACAGTAAAAACACCTCTATCTATATGTAAAGGGAATAAGAAGTACGCTATTTTATGCGTAGTAAACGAGCAAAATTCTCAGCAAAACGACTCGTCACTTCCTTCAATCCCCGAGGAGTTGACGCGACATGGCCTTACATAAAACAACATACACTTCGATGTTTGTCGATCTTCTTAAAGAGCATCTGTTTTATCAGCAAAACTTTGGTACAGTCGTGTTACACAAGTGGTTGCGGGATTTTAAATTGTTTAGTTATAGAAATTCGTTGGATTATTGGCTATGTGCGCGACGGTGGCGACGCGTAGCGTTTACAACATTTGCGGAAGCTGTCAAATAATAACAATGTAAACATTATATTTTTTTTGCAAATATAAATAAAATCAAAGATTAAAATAATATTGTTGACATTATTTAAGTGAAATTTATTCAATAGATTTACTGTAAAATGATAATAAATAATAAAAACCTGGTTTGCATCATCCGCATTTGTTTCCAATTTCTGCCGTGTTGTGCGCTGCGGTCGTTATCTGTCCGCCACTACTCGCTTTACACATAGCCAACAGACTGTATATAGTTGTTTTGTAATATAGTTGGGTACTGTTTACAGTGTCATATCATTGTTTAGGTTTTTTTCAATTCGTCGTTAGCATTATCTGTTTATAGAGGTTTATTGTCATGGAAATAAGCGTCTTATGGTGCACCAGAACATACGTTTCATTGCTATTACCCTAATTTATCCGATTACTCAGTAACAAATCGAATAATACTTTGAGATATAAATAATTATAATGTGACTAACAAGATCAGTATGCGTATCTGCGATTTTCAATTCTGATTGTCTTAGTGTTATAGTCGATAGCTGAGTTGTAGTCGATTTACGAAATCGCGACACAGATTCCTATACTCGGAATTTTAATTCGATTCCAGATT